GACACAACCACCGGGACACCACCACCTGATTTTCAATAGAGTTTAGTGAACGGGATTTCAAATACACACAGGTCAGACAAATCATGTACACGATCCGGAAAAAGAGAGGAAAAGGGCTTTGACGCTAGCGTGCAGCATCAGTCATGCTTCCGCGGGAAGCCGTTATCCGGCCTCAAAACCCACGGAGAATGAAAGTCGGCGGAACGGGGTAAAACTGTGCGAAGGCGAAGCATTTGCGACAAAAGTGAATAAAGTCAACTGGAAATGAACAACTTGGTTGTGGTGATCTTGAGTAGCTGCCTCAAATCAGTGCCCCAGTAGAACAGAACAGGAAGGCCGCAATGAAGCGGAAGAACTCTGTGCTAGCACAAACACAATGCAGAACGATGCAAAAGCGCCACAACTGTACTAGTGTTCGCTATGAAAAAAAACCATCGGGCCGAACTCTGGTTTGATACGTATACAGGTCGTATTTGACAGGGTCATGGATTTCTATACCGAAATATAAAACTAATGAATTGTGTTGAACAGAGTGTACAAATTTTACACACATGTGTAACATCTCGTTGAGAACAAGCGCGTTGTCAACGAGACAGCAATAATGACAACATAAGGAGGGGGGCGGGATTGGGATACAAGATGGATCGATGTGGAGAAACCAACTACAGGGAATTAAAGAACAGAACAAGAACAGCCTCAAGGGGAAACAAGGATACGTCATTGCAAGGAGGTCAAATGCACATGGTGAAGTAATGAAAGCAGCCTTTATTGAATGGTCACTCTGCTGCCGAACCGAATTTGTTCAAATTTCTTGTGAAAAGTAAACGTTGAAGAGGGAAGAAATCAATCGTTCATTCATACCCCAGCCCCGATTAGACAACTTTTATTCGGGTGGATCATACATTGTTGCGCATCATTTTCTTTTTTGATTTGTGAGTAATTTTGATCCTATTAAGTTCAAAAATAAACAGCTCTGAGTGATCATACGAAAGCCTTAATATGATCGGGGGTGTGTCTCGGGTTGTGGCTGATCCCTCTTCCCTTAGACCTCATAAATTGTCCTATACGACCAAGCGACTGAAAAAGACTGTGTTGAGGGAGCCCTACTCAATGACTTCCCCGCTAAAAGCTCCCAAGGATGGGTTGTGCCATATCGTGTACATTCAAAATGAGAAACGGCCTGATCAGCTGCCCGATGGCCTAGTGGGTAGTATTCTCGCACTGGACCTGTGAGGTCCCGGATTCGAGCCCTAGTTGGGTCGATAGATTCAAACTGCTGGTGAGATCTAGCCGGATCGAAAAGGGCTGTCTAGTGCTTCCTAGCTTTTCAGCTAACACCTCATTTAGACAACGAATTCATCATCTAAAATAATATCATCTGTACACAACCTTACCGAAACAAATAGCATCATGGGTTATTGTAAAGAGAAAATAGATCAAAAAACATCAACTGGCAATTCGGATATTTTAGGCACACTGTACTTTGAAGACAGTAAGAGAGCGGAATACATTGTGAGCATCAGAGTAGTTTAAACCGGTTAACCGTACCGGCCACCGAAACTCAAGCCATAAGTAACATCTGCAGGATAAATCATGAGATATAGGTAATACGAGATTGAGAAAACCGAGTTTCACCATGAATCACAACGAAAGAGTTGGTGGCAGACCAGTAGAGATTACATTCCCGGGCGGGCGGGGAGGGAGTACGAAGCGGGTAGAAAGGGACAGAACGGAAAGCCACAAGCAATTCACTGCTACACGTAGACCAGTCAATGCACCTCGAATCACAAATCAGATAGCTGCAGTGAATTTGAAATAAGAGAGCCGGGAGGTGGGGGGTGGGGACTAACCTTTATAGGATGCAGCCGAACACCGTACAATTCCACTTTGCGAGCAGCGTCCAACAAACGATAGTCCGCCTCTTCTTTGGTCAAACCACTGAAGAAACGAAATAAAATGAGCCATCGGAAATGACATGGAACGAATGTGTTTACTAGTGGGGAGAAAAGCAATACATATGGGGTTAAAAATAAAACTTGAAGAAGAGGGATGCGCTAGAAAAGCGGGTGACGTGACAGGTAGCTATACCACAGTTCCCGGAGCAGAAAAAGAGACGCGAGCAAAAA